GTTCAGGGTCATGGAGTCAGAGCAGTCAATCATGGCATCATGTGTTTCTGGCTTTGTTTTACTTTTTAAAGTTATATTCAAGCTGCGTGATTTGTTCAGGACATTTTGGCAATCCAGGGCTTTGACCCTATGCACATTGACCAACAGTTCCTGAAGCACACAATGAGCTATTCAGAGATCAACACATTGGCAGGCCATCTGGGAAAGTAAACGGAAGTAAAATGCTTAGCTTGCCTGATCCTTTTGCTGCCAGCCTTAGGTGACATGACATTGGTCTTCTGAGTCTTGTTGGGTTGAGTGGGCAAATCATTTGAGAACAAAACAAGACCTTTATTTCAGGGGTTCCGGAAACCAAACCTTAGCGCATTTCAGCTTACAAAAGCCTTTGGACTCTTAGACTATGACTATGCCTATTACCGATTAAGAGATGTGTGTCGGTGGGTTTTGTGTACTGCAACAAGCACAAGGACTTTTGGGTCTTCGATCTCAAGTTCAAGAAAAGGAAAGGCTTCTTCATGTTCCGTTCCAGTGTTGGTTGTTTGTTCCTGGCGTTCCTAGTGTTTTGTAGTTCGCCCGTGACTCTGTGGAGGCGAGGCCATGACTGTGCCTGTGGTTGGATCTTTGTTGACCTGCCTCATCACAGGCTTGGTGCTGCCACACAAGTTGCGAGTCCAGCCCTGTCAGCTTTTGAAGCAGTGGGAGGTCAAGCCTAGGCTTGGCTTCCTCACAAGGAACTCGGATGCCGTTGGACTGTGCGGGATGTCCTTGAAAACACCTCTGGAAAACCGGCTTTGCGATAGCTGCGGTGGTGAGCTTCAAGATTTCTTTTTCTTGTGGAGGGCTTCACCCAATTCAGATCAGGCTTCCCTCTATGCCGTGCATCCAGGTTGCGTGATTGGGTATAGCAGCCTGTATGGGGCAGATTCAAGGACTCGAGCTGCTCTGCGTGAGCTGTGGGATCGTTTTGGGGCAAAGCTGGGTGGCCACAGTCCAGCTGCTGCCTCAAGCTTGAGGGAGAAGCTTGATTCTATGGAGGGCTTGGTTCGTGAAGCTCACATTGTGAAGCGAGCTCTCAAGTCTCCATATCTTAGTTTTGCGAAGAGATCCTGCACAAGGAACGATGAATCTTGAATGTGTAAAGGCTAGATGTCTTTTTAGCATCCTGGCCCGGGGAAGGACAGGATCACACCCAGGTTGTGGTTCTGTCGAGTTTGACATTATCATTCGATTGATCCAATAATTTGATTGTAGCGTGATTGGGATTCAAATGCATCAATCCTGCATCCTTGTTGTAGATTGACAACCTGGCTGCATGTGTGTGAAAAATTGTTGATAGTCAGTGCTTGTGCATGTGCTCTTTTATAACGATTCAAGACACAGGCGCATGCATATCAAGCTCTGAGTGTGTGATGTGCGCTTTTGGCCGATACGCCGATACGATTCGGAATGATTTCGTTGAGTTCAAGATTCTTCATTGATTTTTGAAAGTCTCAGGTTCCAGGTAAAGGTGAAGGATGTTGCACAGTGAATCAGCCACCATGTCACTGTCACATGTTACATGTTTGTTTTGGCTCTGCTGAGCTGCTGCACAGCCGGCTGCATAAGCGTGGTTGTGGCTGGATTCACCCGTCTTTCTTTTGGCCCGCCTTCGGAGTCTTACTTGTGCGGGATGGCATCTTCCGAGCCCTATCAGTGCCCACAATGCCCTATGTGTCAGCAAGAGTTTGGCAGTGTTGACAAGGAGACCGGACTCAAGACTGGAAGTGTTGTTTGCCACCATTCTTTTTGACTAGACTAAGACTAGACTGACTAGACTGTAGACAAGGATTGGTTCCAGGATTCTGAAAGCAAGGGTATACCTTCATGTAGACTGAGTGACTGAGCCAGTTTAGGCGGACACAAATTTAATGTTTTTCTTTTTCAGAAACAACGCCATCAGTAACAAGCTCTTGGTGTGTCTTCCAACAATGGGGGACCGGGGTTAAAAGCATAAATTGTATATGTTATAAGTTATAAGTTATAAGGTATAATGTATAAAAAATACATAAAATAACAATATAAATCAACATAAATCATTGGCCAACCAAAGCCATAGGTGGAACTTCTTGCTGAGAGAGTGTGTGATTCCCTGAAAGGATTGCCCGGCAGATGTGGAGTCAAAGGTGACTGTTCAGCCTTCCAAGAACAATCAAACCGGAGTGTGCCTTCAGTGCCTATACGTATGCCGTGGCAGCTTTCCAAAGCAACCAATCGCAGTTTTGGTGGCCAAAAGCAAAGAATTTTCAGCATTGAAGGACAAGTTCCTCAATGGCATTTGTGTTTCATGTTTTGGAATTGAAGCCTTGACCTTCGCTAGGACCCCCCCGGGAAGCTAGGAAGGAATGAATGTGACAAGAACAAAGTGACAAAGACTCAGACTCAGACCTTAAACTGTGTTGGGACTGGGGACTGTGGATATGACCACCAGTTTGCTGCCGGGCCATAGCCCACCTTTGATGCTCCACCCAGGTTCGACAACTTGAGACAGAACCACGTTCAGCATCTGAGCCGACATCCAAAGTCTCGGCCCAGGCACGAACGATGTGACCTGGCCATTTATACACGAAAACAAGAGGAAGACTATCTCGATGTCTATGAGGACAGCAACCATAAGTTTTGCAAGTTGTTGGCCCATTTATTTTGTATTCCAATTTGTGATCAAGCGTCCTTTTGAAGAACGCTTGAAACCTGTCAGGTCACCTCCCCCCTGTCACCCCTGTCCAATCACACCCCAACCCCCTGATGAGGAGATGGATTGGGAGAGTGTCAAGGACTACTTCAGTAGGGTCGCTCCACCTGAAGTAAAACGCCGCTGCAAAAACCACTCTCAAAAGCGCTCCTATTTAGTCAAAGAACTTGGATTGGAGCTCCAGCCGGACTCTTGGCTCAACAAAGCAGTACAAAACAAGAAACAAACAGACAGGAACCTACTTCCTACCTACTGACTGTCTCCTTGAGAGGTTACGTTGAACTTGCCAAAACAGCCAGCTCACCAGACCCTGTCAATACTTCAGGCTTTCATAGACAGTGACATGACTTACTGACTGGTTACTATACCCACCACATGGATAAAATCAGTTTGGTGGCCCCCACATGACTGGACAGTAAGGATGAAGTTGGCAATGAAGGAGTCGCTACAAAGAAGAATCCTGGCAAGAAGGTCATGAAGGTTGGAAAGCGACTGTCCTCTGCTGTGATCAAGCAGCGTGAGCATGATACCAAGCAAGAAGCAAATGAAGCAGCGGAGAAGGGCAAAGATGGATTGACTGTCGCGGCAACAACTCAGGACAGCGCAGGGAAGCTGTTTTGACACCTCAAACAGACAACTCTAGCCTCTAGCCAGTTGAGCCACTATGAGTACGAGTCGAGTTGACTCTATGAGTCTATGAGTCGATGCAGTCTATGGTCCGGTCTATGCAGTCTATGACTAGTCTATGACATTGAACAGTTGCTGAGTGCAGGTGGTTGGGTCCACACACTAGGTACTAGGTGCGTGGTGTTCACCATAGGTGAATTCACTATGACTATGCCACTGCCGCTGTCGCTTTAATTTCCATTTAACATTTCCTATTGCCCCATATATTTACTCCATTGGTCCATTAATAAGTTTTCCCTACAGAGTGTCCCACATCTGCTGGGCGATAGGCGACAGTACGTGTATGTGACTGTTGGGTGCCTGTACTGGCTAGCAGCTAGGAATGTTCGTGGTTACTTTAAACAGTGCTTTTCAGTTACCCAATGCTTAACTACAAAAACAAACAACAAACAACCTCTATAGAGTCAGGGAGTCAAGGGCTGTATATATGCAAGGAAGAATCTCAGTAGGTAGCAGTGTAGCAGCGCTAAAGAAAGGTTCAAATGAGTTGTACTGGACTGTACCAAACAAGCTGAAGGAAATCAATGAAGAAACTGAGCAGTTTCGTGCAGTGCCACATGCAATGAATTTGACCTGGTGTCAGGAGGAAGTCGATGCCAAGATCGCAGAGCAGGAGAACAGCAGCTCTTCATCCTCAAGCTCTCAATCTGACAGTGAAAGCTCTGGCAGCTCCTCCCAGCTTCGTCTTCCGGGCAAGGGCAAGGAGAAGGCAAAGGCGAAGGCAAAAGAAGCCAAGAAGCCGCAAACAAGGAAACGAGCTAAGGCAGAAAAGGGAGACAAGGACAAGGCAGAAGAGTCAGGGCCAGTGCATGGGAAGCCTGGGGCTGATCAGAAGCCTTTAGATGCTCCTGCTTCTGCTGAACCCTTTACACCCACACCATCTCAGATGGAGATTTCCAGTGGTGTTGCCACCCCAAGTGGATCTGCCAAAGATCGAGAGAGTAGCAGGGGCCTCACCACAATGAAGGAAAAAGCTCAGGCTGCACTTCGGCAGTTGCAGCTTGTGACTCCTCCTGCCTTGTGGTCGCAGGGCATCAAGGCCAAAGACATGGACACCAGGGTCCAGCGTGCTGTGGACCTTGCATCCAAGCTTCAGAGCAAAGCTGCTGACTCTGCGTCCCAGGATTTGGCAGTGCAGTTGGAGACTGAAGTCAACAGGGTCTCCAAACAACATGACTTGCTTCGCGGTATTCAGGAAGATTGCTTGGCGCATGTAGAGGACAAGAAGGCCGACATTTGTGCTCTTGCCAGTGACTTCGGCCAAGAGCAGTACATGGTGTTTCTGACTGACATTGCCAAGCGCTTGGTGGAGGACTGTGACTGGATCAAACTTGTTTGATTGGGCGTTTGTGTCATGTGTGGACGTAGATTCAAAACAAACCAGTCATCTCAGGTCACATGACTAGAGCAAAGTGATGCAGCTTACGGTTACATACGACTGCATACAAGTTATCATATGAATACTAGACTATTATAACTTATAACTTATAACATTACATAGATTAGAACTCATAATACCAGCGTACACATACTCGAAAATCATAAGAAACAATCACCTGGTTGTGACATCATGCAACTCCCGATCATGCAGGCAAATATCAGCGGCAAGTCTGATTTGCTGTTCCAGTTCCTCTCCATCAACAGCAATGCCAATGCGAGTTCTCAAGGATGTCACCACTTTGGATTGGCTGCAGTCTTCAAGACAGAGTGGGCAGCAACATTGGCGCAGGTCCAAGTGAATGCTATGAACTATTGGATGGACCGCCTTCGGCATGCGTCAGCTGACCATTGTGAGGGAGCAGTCCGGTCTTTGCCAACAAGTTGGTTCAATCCGGAGATTGTCAGGACACTGTCCATTGTTTGCAGTATCCGGTATCGGTATCAGTATCAGTATTGTTTCAGTTTCCGTCATTGTAACGCTCCCCCACTCCCGTTGCATCTGTGATTCATTCTTGAATTCAGGCTAATTCAGAATTGTGATTACAAGCTTTCCACTGGAGGACTGCCATTGACTCCACTGCGCCCTTGACCTTTGACCTCCCAGATGCGACCCAGAATGAGACAGGCCTTTGCACCCGTGCTTTGCAAGACATCCAAAAGTTTGTGGCTTGCAGCATGGTCCTCAAGCATCCAGCATGCGACAATGACCTGAAGAAAAGCTTGAAGACAATAACAGGTTGCAACCTCTTCAGTGCAAGAACTGGACTGGTATTCAAGAGCAGCGAGACATTGAGGCACTTGGAGGGCTTAAGTTAGGGTTCTGTTCTTCCTCATGAGTTGTAGATGCGCAATTTGCATCATTCAGAAATCAGAACATTCAACATTTTGTATTTTCCATACCCTTTGAGGAGCCTTTGGTCCAGGGTGGTGGACATCTCCAAGTCCATGATTGATTTGAAGTCTGCTGTTGAGAAGGCCAAGAATCTTGTGTCGACTTTGACAGAAGTGCGCCAATCAATTTCCAATAAGGAGCCGGTGACTGAAACCATTGTGAAGCGGGTCCAAGCCCTCAGCTCTATCAAGGACTGCAAGAAGCTGCTGACAGAGTCTGAGGGTTTGAGTGAAGCTGATGCTTCAGCAAGAGACTCTCTCACTCAAGCATGGGACCAATTCCAACCTCATGTACCAGACGTGCAAGCTGAGTTCTCCAAGTTTGTCAAGTTCATGAACAAGCAGTGGCATCCAGGTCAGGACGGAACAGACTTTGAGGCTGGAGAGATCTCTTTGCTGCTTTCTGAGCATGAGACTGGCCTTCTCTTTGCTGAGATTGGACGCGCTTGCTACGCAGGCCAGAATCAGAGTTTCAGCGATCTACTTATTTTCTAGTTTTCTTTATGTTGGGTTGGGTTATGTTACGTTGTTGCTGTTGTTGTGTTCAAGAATGAATCTTTCATGATGATGGTGTCTTCGCCTGGCAGTGGAGTTAAGCTGAAGCTTTGAACCAAAGACAAGTAATAGACCAATAGTAAATAGACAAGACTGAGACTGGGTTCAATGACGGTGAATCGTGAAACACTTGTACTTGTGAGTGAATTGAATTAATGATCCCTTTGCATTGGACCAATTGACTAGAGGCTAGAGGCAATTAGAGGATTGTACAGTTACATTGTGACAGTTGGGAGCCCTGACCAATTCAATTTGTTTGTGCGAGGACTTGTGGAGTGCTATGTGACCCAAGGAACGACTTTGGCAGAGCAAACCATCGCCCTGATGATGAGCAATTTCATCAGAACCTTGGCGTCATGGACCGAGACATCCAAACAAGACCCATCTGTGCCAGAAGGCCTGGCTTTGTGGAAGCTGCTTATGAAGCACCTTGATGGGATTTCCAAGCTTGGGCCAGACTGCCAGTCCAATGTCGCCCAATCTGCTACCAATGCAGTGAACCGACTTGCTGAGATGCTGTATGTTGGGGGGCAAAACGCATGTCAAGCAACGTCTTGAGAGTGATGGCGTAGAGAAAGGCATAGAGAAGGTCACAAATGAGCTTGCTGATCCTATGCCAGACAAGTTGGGCTGCATGATCTCCACCCTCAAGCAGGGCTACTCCTGGACAACTTCAGGTCTTGAAGTGACCGTGGAGGCAATTGAGAACCCCACAGGGGCGATTCTTCAGCCTTACCTCTCCCTCTATGTGAGGATCAAGAGCTTGGACATGAAGATCCTGGAGGAGCTTCTACCAGAGAAGCATGGCTTGGCAGTGACCTTTTTGAGTACTTTCGAGAAGACAGTCAAGGCCTACCTGACGACTGTGGAGCATGATGTTGAAGAATCACTGGAGGGGTTGAAGCAATACAGGCAGGATGATTCGTTAGCTTAAATTATAAATCCAAACAACATAAATAATTACACTGACTGTATTCAACTGATTTTGTGCAAGAGGCAAGAGTCAACAAATGGTAATTATGGTAATTCTTTAGTGTACGTGCGCGCAGTATTATTACCGTACCGTATTACTACTGATTACTTGCAGTGATTCCATACTCTTTACAGAATCCTTGTGGTAGAGCCTTTCCAAAGCCAATTTTGGGATTCAGAACTTAGAACATGAAGTTGGCTTCCTTGGCCTTTTGCAAAGTGTTTGACATGTTGAAATGTTTGTTTCTTGGCAGGGATATCATTCCTGCTTCGGAGTCCTGGGATATTGACCCTGTGATGTGGAACTTCGAAGCCACTGGTGAAGATTTAAGGAAGCATGGGGAGACAGTCGATTCCATTGTCGACGCTCGGTGTGTCTTTGGACAGCAAGTCTCCTTCTTTCGCGCTGTGGCCGCAACAAAGTCCAGCATCTCCGCAGAGCAAACGTCCATTCTCAAGGACAACAGGTTCTCTTCTCTCCACAAGTCACTGGAGGACAGGTATTGATTTTCTCAGATTTTCCAGACTGTTTCATCCAGTTTTGCTTTGCGTGGCAATTCAGATTCAAACTGTGTGACTGTGACAGGACTGTGTTTAAGCAGTAGTCAGTAGTCAGAAAATTCAATCCCCCCCATTAATGCCATTCAATCCAGGACTTCCGGGCTGTGGCTGCAAAGGTCCTCACATACTTGGCTGTTGGAGACTACATCATCCACAGTGATCATGAGCGCTATAAGGAAAAGGGTGCCTTGGGCAAGGTCATGCAGTTTGTGGGAAGCGTGGGTATGTCCAAAGCCGATCTTCCCGCAGAAGTGCTCAAGCGGTTGGAGAGCAAGCCTGAGCCAGAGCCTGCCCCAAAGGCAATGACAAAGGCAAGGGCTGCACCAAAGAGAAAGAAGACGGCAAAAACCCAGCCAGAGCAAGACGGAGACGAGGACCAGGAGGAGGAGAACAAGCGGTTGAAGAGAGAGCCTGCTGCTGGCAGAAAGCGCAAAAGCAAGCAGTAGGAGTCGGCGTGCAGTAGGCAGCAGTTTGAAGTTTTGTGGGGCAGTAGGAAGGCAATGCAGCCCCTTTAGAAGAAGCAACAGCTACTACTACAGGTATATTTATTGTTGTCAGTAAATGCTGTATACTGATATGATATATATTATGTAGCAACAACAACCAAAACTGGACTGGACTATAGAAGATATTAGAAGATCACACACCATTTTGTGTTTGAAACTGTCAGCGGTTCAGGGCTGATGCTTTTGCAGGGGCTGTTATTGTCGGATTCATTAGTTGGATGCTAGGGCGCCAGCAAAGCGCATGGACTATTTCTTAACATGTGCGCACGAAAGTCTGGCATTTAGGGGCAGCTTCGTGGAGGCACGACGGAAAAAGACAGAGAGAGGCGATTGGCAGTGTGTGCAAATGTTTGCACATGCAGTGTCAGCATCAATCACGAACTGCAAAACAAACATCATATCATATACAAACGACTATATTTTAGTTTAGATATTACAAACCAACAGCAAGCAAACACAACAAACTTCACAGGATTTCAGTGTTGTTGTGAGTTGAGAATGTGGAGGATGTGCTTGGGTAAGACAATCAGTAGTAGACTGCCTGGACAAACAACACCGTGATTTTTCTTTGGGATGCGAACTATTTACAACTCTATTTTCTGGCTTCAGGGCTTGAACAGCCTCAAATACACAAGGTTTACCCTTCCACACATTGAGCCAGTCTTGGTCTGATCTCCAAGTCTCATGACACTATCTTTCTTGTGTGTTTTCTTGCCTTGTGTGCTGTATGTTACTGTATGTTTGTTCCTAGGGTGTTTTTTGACTTTGTTGCTGCGTCTTTGTTGCGTCATCTTATTTTATTTTGCTTAGGTTATGAAATAGTTCTGCAGCTTTTAATAGAACATATGAAATAGTTCTGCTGCATATTTGGGAAATATGAAATAGTTCTTGAGGTTTTTGTGTCAAATATGAAATAGTTCTGAGGATGTTAGTAAAAAATATGAAATAGTTCTACTAATCTTTGAGCAACTTATGAAATAGTTTCTGTTGATGTTTTTGTATGAGTCTGGTAAATATGAATTAGTTCTCATAGGTTCCTGGCAAATATGAATTAGTTCTCATAGGTTCCTGATATTTATGAATTAGTTCCTGAAGCTTCTGGGAAGCTCACCATTAAAGAGACCAATAAAGGTCCCAAACATTGCATGATGATAATTGTGGTACATTGATGTTCGAAAACAGTATAGATTTGCTGATCGGCTGAAGCTTGGCGGTTTGAATCCCTGGTCGCCACTAAGGATTGTGACCCAAAGACCTCGTCCCTTTCATATCCCAAACATGCATTTACAATTCAACGATCGTTCTGACCGAAACACTCCATATGTGACACATTTCCCTATACTAAGCAATGTAGGCATACCTGGATCTTCAATGCGGCATACCGGGTGGTACGGTACGGCGCATTGGGCGCATCGGCGGTCGACCTGGGTCGACCTGGGTCGGTGCGGTCGACCCACTCCCGAAGACTCACATCGATCCTGCACCTTCAAAGGGGTGTCCTGGCTGGACTACCCCACACTACCAGCCTACCCATACACTCCATGGGACTGCCATATATGCCTACATTGGGCCCTCTGGCACCACCCCAATGTAGGCATATATGGCATACATGGAGTGTCTGGGATAGGCTTTCGTTCAGGTCACTGTCTACCTTTGTAGGTCCATGAGTGTGTCTTCCAGCTGTGTTTTTGGGGCCTTAGAAGGCTGGCAGCCTTGGGTGTCTTCACTGGCGACCTAAGAGTTGTCGAATGGTCCATCATTGGTGCCTACAAGCAGCGGTATGCTTGTGGGTTGTGGTTCCGTTTTTTGTTGTATTCGAAGTCAATGAATCCCATCATCCAAAGGATCCAAGAGAGGTAGCCAGTGACCTGGAACTAGGATCATTCTGGGTACCGAACTGGGATAGATCTATCTGGTTCTTCAACCTGTGTTGAATGTTTTCCCAAAACACCAAGGGGCTACGACGGCTGCCCTGCAGTGGGGTACTGCACGGTCCACACCGCGACCGGCAGTGTCCGCACAGGAAGTGGATCCGCTGCTCGGGACGTTTCACGTTTGAGGTAGACAGCTTTGTGCGGTTGCCCTACCGGCGTGTTTGTGATGAATGATCGATGAACATCAACCATCATCCAGAACACAACTATATATTAGTTTCTTTCACTCTGAAGACCGTAACTATAGTAGTAACCCATGGTTTCTTTCGATCCCGGAAAACCCATCGGTCACTTCCAACGATCCGCTCGAGCCGTCGTTTCGCTTCGACAACGACCACGACCTCGGCCCGGACGGATGGAACCTCCGCCGCGCAGGCGGTGGAGAAGACGGAGCTGAGCGAGCCCATGGGCGAGGTCTAGCGTGAGTGAGATGCTGAGATGCGAAGGTGAGAGGTGAAACACCTTCTCTTTTGGGGGTTGGGGAGTCCATGGAAACATCCAGGAGTTGGGAAGCAAAATTAGAAGTCCATGGTTCATGATAGAGTCGTCCGTGCCATGTTAAAGCATTCTGAAATTAGACACCTATTATATAATCTATATGGTTCAATGATGCTATAAGATGCTGCTATAGTACTGTCATACCATGCCTCGGGATCAGGGTCAGCCCCCACAAATTCTTCAATGGACGGGTGAGATTCTTCACCTGAACACCCATCAACTCCAGACACCTCAGGTGCATCTTACATGGAGACCATCTCCAGAATACAGAGGAACCCTTCTCACCCTCAAACATGTTAGCTGGTTTTCCGATCCCCCATGCGCTGCATCATGCGTGATGATGGGCTTATGATCCATAAATATAATCACCAATTATACACAACAGGACTTTCCGTTTGAGGCGTCTATAAATAGCCTCTGAGCGGTGATTCGGGGTGTAAAAAAGAACGACCTGTTGGAAGGTCCTGGTACAGGAATGGATGCCCTTTTTCACAGAGCTTCTATCGCAGCCCCCCTTTCTATCGCAGCCCCCTATATGCTGGGCAAGTCTGATCACCTCGGCGCCTCCAACGGTCTAGCGTCGCGCAAGGACCGATACGCTGCGTCCTGAGGAACAGGGGTCTTCCCGAATCGGGGCAGTTCACCGATTGATTCAGCGGCGCGTCTCCAGTCTCACCCAAACGCGACCTGCTATAGGACTGCCAGGACGGACTGGCGCCCCAGACAGACCCCCCTGGCACCACCCCATACATGGAGTGTGGTCATGGGATCCCACGGATAGAAACCCGGGCGGTTGAGCGCTCCAAGCCATCTGTTCGAGTCACATATGGACTCCCCAGCGATGTAGGCGGAGGCGCCCCAGGCGCCAGATGCGTCGACGTCGAGCTGCTTTTTCAATGTTCTCAGTTTCAATCTGACAATGCGAAGGCAGAGGAGCTGCTGCATGAGGTTTTGGCCTCATGACTGGAAAATACTGGAAAGATGCAGAAGGCAAGAAAGCATAAAGACTGCATTCGAGATTGTCCTTTAGTACTGTTGACACGGGTGAGAATCAATCATGGTGTAGGATTTTTACACGACCAGCTTCAAGAAAAAGACAACATGGCAAGAGCTACCCACATCATACCAGGTACAAATAAATACGATCCAATATTAGAATATATATACCGGCACCTTCAAAGGGGTGTCCTGGCTGGACTACCCCACACTACCAGCCTAGGCTTCCAGACAGGGCACCCCGACAGGAGGGTCCTGGTATATGTTACACTCCCAGGCACTCCATGCATTGATCCCTGAGACCACCTGGAACCCTGGTCACAACCAGAAACAAGCAGTTGTTCCAATATGCCGCCAGCTTGAAATCCTTTAAATCGGAAATGGCTGGGACTGGGAAAACATGGTATGGTATTCATACAGCATGCAATACATGCAGAGTCCTTTGGGACTGCATGCGCAGCACCGTCGCATCGTCATTGGTCAGATCTTCCTTTGAAGAGCCTGGTACATCCGTGGCACCATAGTGCGGCCACCACTGCGATCCCTATTGGCTGGTTGTGCCAATATCAATCATCATGGTGGAGACGTGGCAAACTCGGAACAGATCCTCGAACTGCAACTCTGAAGCACTCCTTGTGAAGTGCCCCACCCCCAACTCAGAGACAGGCAGGTCCGCTTCGGACGTGGAAAAAGTTGCACCCACCCAGGTGTTGATGGTCGATGACGATAGTGGGTTGGTTGAGCTAAGAACTCGATCAACCCAAGACTTCGAGGGTCGCAAGTGGTGACCAGGCGATTGTTTGACTTTCTCAAGATTGACTCTCAAACTGCTCCAAGCCATGCTATGAGAGCCCCCCTTTTTTTGGCCCCAGCGAAGCTGAGCAAGGCCAAGATTTAAAGAGTTTCTCAATCAGTTGGCATCCGCCAGGTGATTTTCTCCTGCTGATGGAAGGCTTGGAGATTCACGATCTTAAGTTTCCTTTCATCAACAGCTGCGCCACCATCGTTTCAAAGTTCTGGGGGTTCACTCGGGTGATCAAGATAATGTAGGACCAGGCTGTGGAGAAAAGACCCCGAGCTCTGGCTCTTCATGTTTCTTCCAATCATCCGAGTGGAGCGCCCCCGCAAATTGCGGTCTGGTCGATTGTTGGTCTAGGCTGCCGAACGGTGGTGAGTTTCGACCACCTTTCAGCCTGCGACAACACGCAGGTGCAAGTGGATGCGACTCGAACGATTCGGGAGTCCATCTTCCGAAAACTGGTGGAGGTTGTTGGAGACTTGGAAGAGAGGTTCACTGCCATATTCCCTCAATTAAGCAATTGGCCTATACACATGTAAGTAACCCTACGGGTCCAGGACCATCCGAATCGGATGTCCTTTGACCCCCCAAGACCATTCCCTGGAAGTACGAACTCACCTCCAAGACCATCCGAAGTACGGAGGTACCTGGACCCGAACTGGGTAAGTTAATTTTTAATAGAGGGAGTAGACCTGGTGGGAGCGCTCGGACGCGGCTCTTTCACGGAGTCTTCCCCCTGGCCGGGGTCGCAAGGCCTAGGGCTCCAGTCGTGCCTCCTCAGAAGGTATGATTGGACCCTCCTGGCACCCACCCCAGTCCCACCTTCAGGTTCGGTACGACTGGAGGCCAAACGGGTCCCTGCCTATGTTCCTTCTTGCAGGGAGGTCTCCCCACTGGGGATCGATACACCTCGGACGTCGAACCACAGGTCGTCCATGGGTTTGGCACGGTGAGGAGTGAGGAGTTCGGTCGGTCAAGAATTCACACCAACAGGTGGTTTGGCAGCACAGGATAGCACAGGTCACCGGTTTGGCCATGTTTGGCAAGTTTTTCGGTGTTCCAGATTCTATAGACCAGCTGAGTTTCTGGAACCAATGGAGTATTTTGTGTGTTCCTTTGGACCACTGTGATAAATTGTAAATTAGATTCCGGATAGTTTCAGGGAGAAGAGTGCGGGAACGGGAAGTCCCCCGCAAAACCTACCAAAGTGGGGTTTCTGAGGCCTCTTCCAAGCAATGCAGTTTGGACCAATGGCTAAGACTGCATGGTATGGACCATACCTCTTAGCTCGCTCTTTCCATTTTGCACCAGACAACCAGGCAGCACGCCATTTAGCTTGCCGCCGCGCAGGCGTTGGGGCATAGCCTCTCGGGTGATGTTGGAGCGGATGGGATCTTCATTCCACCCGTCCCGGGCGAACTCATGCAGGCGAGGAGGCCCAGGCAACATGTCGTCCCAGACCAGGCGGACCGGGTGGATCCGGTGGACCTGAGGGTCCCATGGATGGTCGCACGGTGTGGGAACTGTGTCCTTCTCCGGGTGTCTGCGTGGCGTTCGGTGACGATGCCGAGACTCAACAAGAAGAGGCGATAGAGGAGATTCTGAAGCTAGATATGGCCTGTGGGTCAAAACCTGGAGCCCCAAAGGGTAATTAGCTTCATCTCCCAAGGTATCCTTGTTTTGACCAGTCATTTCCCATGGTTCGCTGCATATATGTCTTCCACGGCCATGCGGCAACCGCAATGGAAAGATCCTCAAGGACTTGACATGTTAAAGAGGGATGGGTGTAGAATTCCCAGCTTCCTCCACTCGCTATTGCATCAGATGGTTGTTTCTAAATCCACCAGTTAGTTAGTTCATACTAGATACTCTCTATACAGAAAGAATCCAAGCATGCAGTCCACCCACGCCGCCCAGGGCCTTCCAAACTGTTACAGTTACTGGCCCTTGTGCTTGGGAGCTCGGTCATCAGTCAAAAACGCGTCGGTTCGGTAGGCTGCGCAGCGGAGCCGTGTCTCACTCGACCAAACGATGGCCTGGGGTCGATTGATCCAGAGAGCAGGGTCAATCGTTAAAGCTTCCCCCCCCCCCCCCCCCCCCCCCCACAAACAAAACCCAGACGCGACCCACCGCTGGGACTGGTGATCGACGGACTGCGAGTTCCGGCCAGGGGTGGTTGAAGTCGGGGGTCAATTGATCGGCATATATTCCAGTCCCATGGAGTGTATGGGAAAATTACTTCCCCAAATCTTCGTGAATCCAAACCTTCGTGAATCCAATGTGTGAAACAGCATGGTATCGCGACAGAAGTTGTTGCTTCAAGACATGCCTTTGCCTCGTTCAAAATTCACAGATCCAAAAGTTGTGCCTTTTGGTCCGCACCAAAACCCACACCCAGATACTCCATGGGACTAGCATGCTTATAAATACCTATACCTTGGGCTAGTTGACCTGAGGTTATTCTTTGTAGGTCGAGCTTTCCAGGTGGAAGCGCGTGCCCACTTTTCGTGTGGGAAAAAATGGCCGGTGGCCACGAAACACCAGCTCCGCCCGTTGCTGCGCCGCTGAGGCGCCGGTCACGTGGATTGGACGACCTTCGTGGATTTCACCAACGTGGCGGCCGCAGGAGGGGCGAACTCGCTCGCGACGCGCGGGCGAGGTCACTAGGTCACTAGGTCACTAGGTCACCGGTGGCCGGTGGGTGGAAAAGGGAATGACGTGACGCATCGTGACGCTTGGAGGGCTTAGCCGGGCGATTTTGGGGTTGGCTGGTGAGGTTCTTTTTTCGGGGCCAGCACATGTTTGCCTTCGCATGCCTTCGCCAAAGACTTCATGTAGCCAACCAGAACATAGGATTTGTTCCCAGCAATCATGCCAAAGACTGCATGAATCCAACCATCCAGGAATCCGGAGTCTGATCCTCAGTTCCATCCAGGAATCCAGGACCTTCAGTTCGTGACCTCTTCTGTTCGTTTCTCAGTGACCTTCAAAGTGACCGGCCTTGACCCTGATCCTCAGATCAGCGGCTGGAGAGGTGGGGTCTTGACCTCGGAGACCCCGGTGAAATGGTGAAACACCCTTGATGTCACCGGCACGACCTGCGGCACGACCTGCGGCACGACACAGAGAGAGAGGCTTCCGAACCGTCCTTGCACTAGACTGACGATGTGTGACTTCTCATACTTATCTCAAAAGGTATCTCAAATTCCTCCGTGTTTCTCCATCGAAACCGCCCTCGCCTTCACCAACACCAGGAGAGCGCTTGGGCTGGCGGAAGCCGGGATGCCCAGCGGAAGTGGTGCGGAAGCGCTTGTGCCTCCATGGGGACGTGCGGTGTGGTTTCAATAGCCTACATCGCTAGATGACCCGTCAACCAGACGGATGGGGGGTAAATATGACAGTTCCATTCGTTTGGTCGACGGGTCATGTGGCTCTTGATGAATCTCCTCCCCGTCAGACATGAAGTAAAGACCTCTTCATATGAGGGTGTTTTTCGTCAAGATCCATCACCGAAGAACTGGATTCCTTTTAAGGATGTTGCACTACACAACCGGTCAACCGAACTCATTTAAGGCTCGGGTGTCAGATGGAAGAGGATGGAGGGTCATCTTCAAAAGGTGGAGCTCGGATCTACGCAGTCAGTTTGTTGTGAATGCACTTCAGCTGAGCCAGTTCGATATTGGTCGCACGCGGCCAGCACAAGGTGAGCAAAAGACACATCGAGTCTCTCATGAAAAAGATCCATTGGCCCCATGACCATCATCCTCTTTGCCTCCAACAATTGCAATCCCAATCCTCCTTGCTGCATGGCGCTGAAGGGCTGGCTGCTGGGATGCAATGATAACCCAGTGCAGTGTTGCAGGCTGGGTCACTGTAAGGTGCTGAACTCCCCTATGACACCTGCGTCCAGGTTGACATGCACAGTACAGGTCGAAGGGGCTGTGCATGCAGTGCCTTTGGTTCCTGGTAGGAATCTGCTTTTTGGTACCTGTTCTTGGTACTTGGTATTTGCTCTTCTGGCGTGCGTTTGGAGTGATGGAGTCTGTTCTCGGTTTGTTGTGATCTCGGTTTTCGGCGATGGAGTTTGCAGTTCATGTTCATGTGATGTTTAGGCTTGCGACCGCGTGCACACTTTCATTCTTACCCTCCTTCAGCCTTTACTAAGCATGCCTATCATTTCATTCAGTATATATAATTGCGCACTCGAATCGAATTCGATCTGGAAGACCATGTTTTCCGATTGGAACTCGAATTCGAAATCAAACTGGAAGGCCCGAGGAAGCCCTCCAGTATCCGTTGGCAAAAGGTAGAGAAGAGGGTGCGCTCTCGCGATTGTGAGGTGTGAGTCATGAGGACGTTGTTCATTGGCATGCAGCGGCTTGATAGAGCATAAACGTTTTCAAAATATTTAATTCTATATTTCCTGGGCGCATTCTTTTGAGCTGTGGATTCTTCAAAAGTGTGTGCTTGAACTTGCTGTGGCGCCCCACGCATTTGCGAACATCCAAGTCTTCAAGTGAGAAGTCTTCAAGAGAGATATAAGAAGTTCAAACGTCAGACGTGCAGAAAGCACGCCAAGGGTCTGTCTTCCAGCATGTGTATGCCTTGGACGATCGGAAGAAATGCACCAGAAGATGTTTGGAAGTGCCTTCCTTGCAGATCCTCTTCTGCGGTGAATTTGGCATTCTATGTATGAAACATCTCCCAACTTCGTGCGGGTATTCAACCAAACCAGCTTGGTCTGAACGACTGGTGCTTCAACATGGTTTGCGCACGGTTTGGGTGCGCGCGATGTGGTGGTTCAAGGGACTGAACACCACAAATCCAGTGAAGAGGTCGCTGGTTGTTCTGATTGGTAGCTACATCCTAGCTACATCCTAGTGATGTAGCTGTGGGTCCTGGTCCTAGCTATGGGTCTTCAACGATTGCCAAGCCCTCTTGATTGGTAGCAGTGGGGTCGCAGCTAAAGGATGAGGGGCTGAGTGAGCAAAAGGAAAAAGATGGGGGTGCCTTAGTGTTCTCCAGCCCTCGAAAGGGACAATGATAGAATTTGTAAAACACCGCCTCATTGAGACAAGCGCACCCATCTCATGGCCATCTCAAAGAGGCTCTTTCAATATCTTTCAATAAGGAAGCGCCTTATACAATTCTCCCATGTTTTCAGGCTACTGGCACAAAGGCCCAGACTCCTCCACCCAGAAACAAGAAGAAACAGTCATCCATCATCCACCCATACTTATCCATACTCCATCCATCCATTGTTTTCCGCCAACGGCCTGCTGCGCCGGCTGCGGACCCATAGTTACATCCTAGCAATCCATGGGCTTGACTGGACTATTTGCTTTCATTGCTTACATGATTTTAAGATGGGTTTAAGGGTCAATGTGGGTGTGTATTCAAATTAGGGACACTTCCCATTGGGGTCTCCCTGTTGAAATGCACACCCATGTAGGTAAGATCCCGTGTTACCCCCCCATTTCTTCACTTTTCAGACCCGAGGTTGTTCTATGGTCCACAAAGTCTCCTTGAGGCTGTGAGAAACCGACCCGGACCGGGCAAGCGATCCTGGGACGTCAAGGATGGGAGGGTCAGCGATAGTGATGCCATGGATGTTAGGTGTATTACCAGCACCCTCCAACAGGTCACCACCCTTCACTTTTAGATCTCCAAAAGCCACCAGAGGAGACCTATTGGAGATGTTGGAGGGTGCTGGTAGATGATATGTGGAGCCCCAGACTTTGAACTCTTCAAGCCTCTTTTTCGGTGTTGAATCAGACGGTGATTGAGTTGCAAGGGACGTTCTGAAGAGAAGCAGAGATCCGACAATCACGAGAATTACTTAAAAGAAGTCAGTATATGTAGACCCAGAAGTTCAAAGACTAAAACATGACACTTAGATGAATAACAGAATAGAGTTTGGTGGTATCTTTTTTTTCAGAGTAGGTGGCACGAACAGCCCCTATATCCGAAGGAACTGAACGGCCCTTCGAGGCGACCGGCGAAGCTTTGAGGGCCCACGTCGAGGGTCCGTTCCCTTTCGGGGTTTTGGAGGGTCTCCTTTTTGGACTCCGCGAGAGTTGCACTCCCGGTTTTTCCAGGATCCACGTTGAACGTGTGGTTGAGTCCAAGTGAAAGTGGACTCAAAAGTCACAGACCCTTAACAGACCCTGAGGAGCTTGGGATTATTTTCTTTTCAGATGGAACTTTCAGACAGAGCTGATTGGATCACTGATTTTGACAATGCCTGGATGTTCGAGTCAGTATCTGGACCCAACCTTGGTTTTAGACGAAAAGACCATGATACATGAATATACATGACATCACATGACCCCTTTTCACCGGTAGATCGATCTACCTTTCGTACGACCTGGTCGACGTACAGATACATTCGAATTGGGAGTTTCTCACATCAAACCGCTTCGATGCATCAGATGTTGGCTCCAGAGGTAGCAGATGGTAGCATCATCATTCCCACCAGATGCGGCATCTAGACAGACTGCCGTGACTTCCATTGAGACATTGCGGTCTCAGTGTTGTCAGCACTTGTCGTCACATTGTAGCATAGAGCTCAGCAGCTTGGTCATCCACAACATTTTCTGGCTCAAACAAACATGTGGGCCAGAAGGATCTTGACAGAGACGTGGACATGCTTCATGTGTCCAATCCGGACTTGGTTCCAGCGCATGGGACCGGTATGAACATCTAAAAAGCACCAGACTAGCCATACCTACCTTAGCCCAGACCGCGCTCTTGCCGGAACAACCGCCTTGGGATGTTGCGTAAAGTTTCTATCAGATTATCATATACTCAAAAAACAGCTACTGGCACCATCTTGCACCCCTTGTTCAAAAGATGTGGGTTTGCAGATGTACCTTAAAGACAACAATAGACAACATGTTGATTTTACATTTTACAGAGATCTGTGAACTTCACAGATCTGTTTGCTCCATTTGGCGAGAGATCTACTGATCTACTGGTTGAGCCCAGGTCCCAACTGCTCCCCTTTTCTGACCCTCTGTCGGTTCCACCACCGCTCCCCGCGCCATGGTGGAGACGATCGTTTAGGCCAGGGCCTGAGAGGTTGTGTTCGAAGGGTTTCGACTTCGCCTCGCAGCAAAGGCGGCAAATCCATGCCATGCCCAGTCAGTGGATAACCTTTAACTTTTTTTGGGGAGTGGTTCCCCACTAAGCAAAAACAGGTAGGACAAATGTAACTTGATAGATTCTATTTTCCAGGGACTGCAAAAACGATTCAAAACAGATCCTTTTTCCAGCACCACCCTGTTTGGGCAGTTCATAGACCCCCCCCGACTCTCTATTTTCCATCTAATAACATTCCTTGGTGACTCCTGGTTTGGAGTTTCCTCTACCGAATCCATCACAATGGACCTGTGACAACTGACGTGTGACTCTTTGGAGGATTCACCGTTGGAACACCCCACGCCGAACTGCAAGCCGACTGAGGGCGGCATTCTGTACACTCTTCGTTGATGCTGCCAGGCACTCGGGCTGAGAAGGCGCCATGAGGTGGCTGGGGTGGAACAAACCGGGTGTGCTCTGAAAAACCGTCATTGGAGTTGCTTTCAACCAATACCAGATCCTCTTCGGAACGAAAAGACCATCGAAAAACGCAAAACGGCCACGCATCCGGGGACAGGAGTCGACTGTTACGGGGCGCTCAGGTCGATCCACGAAAGCCTGGAGCCAACGGTACGAGGCATGGGTGGACGGGACGGATGTGGAAGCTCGAAGGTCCAGCTCGATGGTCCGACAGGTGTTGGTATGTTTTTAGTCGTTCGTTGGCTCAACCTATGGGAGGGCTTAGTTGAACGAACTGCTTGATTTCAATAGAACACTTAGCACTCAGGATACTCAAAACCCAACTTCGTTGCATTAAGACGGTATTGTATCAAAAGGGGTTTGAAGAAAACACATTCCTGAGCACCGAAAACACAGCGCCACCCAAGCCCATGAGGGAGCAGGTGAGAATCGAGGTGCAGGCTCTCATTTCCTGGGCAACACTTTTCCTGCCCTAAGAATCCGGGCCCTCAGCAACACATAGGGTTTGGTTCAGGTCCGGACCCCTGCGTTTCGAGGTCGGGTCCGACCCCGGAGAGCCCGGACTCGGATTCTTAGGGGTGGAAACCAAAAAACGTCGATCACTCCTAAAGAGTGGAGATGATTCGAGTCCACAGTGGTAGTCCTTTTCATGTCTTTTCATGTGTATTTACGGTCCTCCCTTGGTGCTGGCGGCTCCATGGTCCTGTTGTCCTGGTTTTGTGGATCAGGTGATTCTTTATTTTCCCGGTTCCTGGGTGAATCCCCAAACCTACCAAACCGCGCTTCCTGTTTGGGTGTCCAATGGTGACCTATAAGTAGTGCGGGGTTGTCCAGCCTGGTAACCTCGCTACGAAGCAGCTGGTGGGGAGTATTCTTTGATGCGACAGCCCCGGCTTCCTGGACTGCAAAGCAAAGGTGCTTTTTTTCGGCATGTATTTTTGGTGCGAGCCCCAAGTCGCAACGAGAGGATGAACTGCCAAGGCAAGAGGTTCGGTGCTGCGTAAACACTAAAACCTCACCACACCCAGCTTGAAAGCGTGTCACCTTCACCCCCTCCCTGAGGCCCTGGCCAGTCTCGGGTAGGGAGAAGGCTGTTCATGTATCACCACTGAAGAGTTGACGCTCCAATTCATGTACGTAGACTCTTGACTCTTGATGAATAAACCCACCCAATTGAATGCACTCACTTGCGGACCGTCAGCGAAACGGGCGCACCCACGCTCCCCTTCCCAGCTGTCTGGGGGGTTGAGGTGGGAATGAACAGAGTGTGACACCACGCTATACAAGGAAATGAAAAAGAGATGTTCTATGTACAACTACGAAACGAACTACGAAATGCCAAACGGTGTGCGGTGGAGGAAACGGAACAGGAACGCAAGTCACAAACTGCTCAAAAATGATTTTTTGGCATCAAGTCCGTAGCCTATGGTCACCCTGTCCTCTGCGGGCGCAAGGTGACCTAATACGAGTCTGAGCCAAAAATGATGAATTGTGGTGAATCGGTCCTGGATGAATCAAGACTGAACCTGTCAAGCACAGAGATGAAGCAAGCGTGGATCTCACCTAACCGTTCATGCATATCTGGATCTTCTCTGCTTGTGTTGCAGAGGATCCACATTGCACTGAAATTCCTAATTAAGCATTAGAACCAAATTCACGGGGCATCAGGATGTCTTATTGTGTCGAAATCTTCACATGTGGGGTTAACAATCGAGAGCCTACATTAAGACTCCTTGGACCCTTCTGCATTTCGCAGGGCCTTCGACGGGGGGATTCGCGGTGACACATGGTCTCAGGAGTGGAACTTCCACCTTACGGCGATCCACAGTTGAGCGTGCCGTGGCGGAGCTCGCTCTTTCGCACTGACTCCGTGTCGGACGTTTTTTCCACCGCGGAGTACGGGGAGAAAGCAGATGGTCACTAGTCCTTTGCTAAACCGTACGAGTATACGAGTATGTGTATCATAATGATCCATTAATTGTGCATTGTAGCATTTAGCATCTGGGACTGGAATTGTATCTATTAGATGGACGTGGCGCAAAATGGCCCACCCTTCTTGATCCTTCTTGCAGCACCCGCAAGCTGAACAGCTGTTCGTTGAACAGAGGGTATTGAATGAGGGTACCTAATTCTTGAACCACAGACACATGGTTTTGAATGGTACTTTACTTACTGTTTTGTTCCCTCATTACCATCATGTTCATCATCTCTATAGTCTCCACTTTTCATTCTCGCCAACCCGGGGTTAGAATTGAAAGGTTTGAGGTTTCTTTGGAGAGATGTTTGAGCCCCAATCGATGGGAGTTGCCCTCAAAAAGCCAGAGGGTGAACATTTGTATATGCCACAATTTCACCGGCAACTTGCATGGGTCCACCTTAGACGCAAGCTTGCAGATGGTTCTTGGATGTTCTTGGCTTTGTCCGAAGCTGCGATGACGGGATGTGAGCTGATTGAGTCTACAGGTCTCTACCAACCGAGATGTCGAACATACCCATTTACTGAGGCAAAGAGTCTCACAGGGAGCTCAGTGTTTGCTTTGATGTTTCCCCAGGAAAGGCTACTGTACTTTGGAGTTGTTCCAGCCTCAACAAAGTTTGTTGCATGCATAGTATCCTCCTCCCGACCATAGCTTGTATATCACCAAGTTATCCCCTTTCCTATGAGGCTGCGTCCTTTACATATGAGGTGTCCTGGTACCTTTTGAGAAGGTGAGGACGGAGACTGATGTAGGCGCCAGGAGGGTCCAATGACCTTCTGTTCGGTTCGGTGGCAGTGGATCCTATAGGGACTCAATGGCCTGGCACTTGCTTTGCTATGTTCCGAGCACGGCCTCGGGCCGCACGACGGAACGCGCTGAGGCCCTCTACTGGGACGCCCGGCATGCGCGGGTGACCGGTCGGGGGTTCTCAGGCGAACTGGAGTCGAGTGGAAGCTGCGCAGCGCGAGTGACGTCAGGTGTGGGGAAACTG